CTCTCACAGTCTAGTAGGCACCAATTCCAAATTCAGGGTGTCACCTCCAGGGGAAGGATTTCAGTCTCTGTTGAGTCTGGAGGAAAGTCCGTGTCATCAATCAACCTCAGGTCTAAAGGACATGCCGAGATCCCGGCATTGCTTTCTTGGTGGTATGAGGTCCCCGTCTCTCTGCTCACTTCTCTCTTTTATATCTCAGAAGAGATTGGCTTAAGACACTATCTAATCTTGCAGATCCCATCAATATAACTGCCACTAATTCATCTCATTATTTCATGGTGATAGAATATACAACACACAGGGAAATCACATCATATGACAAAATGGTAGCCAGTCACACAATACTGGGAATCACGACCTAGCCAAATTTACAGATATTTTTGGCGGACACAATTCAATCCCTGACACCATCAGACGTACTCATGAATGAGATCTAATGACTCTCAAATCCTTCCCTTTTCCAAGGCCTGCCTTTGGATATTGACAGCTCTGTGACAGGAAAAACTTTCCCTATTATTGTTTGCGATCTTAAGCCTGTGGTTTTAAAATTTGATATGTAGAGTATTTCATTAGGCTCATACACCAAGGAATGGTTGTGTCTACACTTAGGGTAGGTTAGAAGATAATAGTAATAACAATAGCAACAGTAAGCACTCGCCGAGTTACCTATGCTCTTTGTGGCTCAGTTTATCTTTATTTGTTGATTAGATCTCATCTTCTCTATCTACCCAAAGATATCACTTCAGTAATTATCCTCTGCATCTCTTGAATGATTAGTAGTTTGCTTTTTTTTTAAATTATACTTTAGATGAAGGTTTACAGAGCAGACTAGTTTCTCATTAAACAATACACACATTGTTTTGTGACATTGGTTGCCAATCCCACAACAGACATGTCAACACTCTCCCCTTCTCGACCTTGGGTTCCCCATTACAAGCTTTCCTATCCCCTCCTGCCTTCTTGTCCTTGCCCCTGGGCTGGTGTGCCCATTTAGTCTCGTTTTGTTTTACGGGCCTGTCTAATCTTTGGCTGAAGGGTGAACCTCAGGAGTGACTTCAGAACTGAGTTAAAAGGTTGTCTGGGGGGTCATACTCTCAAGGTTTCTCCAGTCTCTGTCAGACCAGTAAGTCTGGTCTTTTTTTGTGACTTAGAATTTTGTTTTACATTTTCTCCAGCTCTGTCCAGGGCCCTCTGCTGTGATCCCTGTCAGGGCAGTCGGTGGTGGTAGCAGGGCACTATCTAGTTGTGCTGGACTCAGTCTAGCTGAGGCTGTGGTAGCTGTGGTCCATTAGTCCTTTGGATTAATCTTTCCCTTGTGTCTATGGTTTTCTTCATTCTCCCTTGCTCCAAATGGGCTGGGACCAGTGGAGTATCTTGGATGGCTGCTCACAAGCTTTTAAGACCCTGGCACTGCTTTCTTGGTGGTATGAGGTCCCCCATGTCTCTCTGCTCTCTTCTCTCTTTTGTATCTCGGAATAGATTGGTTTAAGACACAACTTAGTTTTGTAGATTGAGTCCTGCCTCATTAACATAACTGTCACTAATCCCACCTCATTAATATCATAGAGATAGGATTATAACACATAGGAAAATCACATCAAATCCACAAAATGGTGGACAATCACACAAAACTGGGAATTATGGACTAGCCAAGTTGACATACATTTTTTTGAGGGGGCACAATTCAATCCATAACACTCACCTTCCAGTATCGAGTGAGGTATGGTACAGTGTTTAAGGCTGTGTAAAAGTGACTCTGAATTTGAACTCCCTGCCTTCAAATTCTTGCTATGCCATTTGTCAGCTATGTAATTTTGAGCAAGTTTTCTGATCATTTAAGCCCCAGTTTCCTTGTCTTTAAAATAGTGATAATAATAATTGTGATGAAAAGGTAGAAAATATCTAAACAACTTGCCATATAATAATGCCTCAATAAATACAAACTAGCTATTATTATTATGTTATCATCATTAGGTGGGGAAAATAATATTTATCTTCCATCCATAAATATTGCTATCTTCTTTTTTTAAAATTGTATTTGCTACTGTTGGGTTTTTTTTTCTTTTCTTTTCTTTTCTTTTTTTTTTTTTTTTTTTTTACTGCTATCCTCTTTTAAGTCAAATCTGGATAAAGTAATCCTATTACTAGTACATTTGCCAACACAGATTGCTTTCTCAATTATTATGCCAGTGAGAATAAAAAAAAATGATGTCATATAGGTTTTCAGTTTTAATCCTTATGGTAAAACTATAACAAAACACAGTTCATGCTAAAATTTAGCACCAGAAACTAAGCACCTCTGAAATATACTGCACTGCCTTTGTCAGCTGGGGGGGGCATCAGGTATTGTTGGTATTACGATTTTGAAAATACATTTTAGTGGCTGCTCAGGGTTAGATTTCGATATATTCTGTTTAAAGCAAAAATAAATAAAATTACGTATATATCTGTGTGTCTAATATGAGTCGAGTGCTTATTATAGTACAGGAACGTGTTGCTGGGCACTGCACAGCCTTGGGTTTTGGGTCGTTTCGATTCATCCTCCCCTGCTTGAGAACATACAATTGCTCGGGAGAGTAGGGTTGAAATTGAAGAGGGCGAGGTAACTGTGCTGAGGTAAGCGCTATAACGGTTGAAAATTCCCAAATTTTCCCTGACATTTTTACTTTTATCTCCTAAATCCGTGTTGAGGTGGACAATTCAAGATTCTAGGACAGTGTGTCTAGACTTGCCCTCAATCTGGGAATTGGACTGTTCCTGCTAGGAAACCCTAAATGTAAGAGGGAAACGGCCCGGGGTTGCCAGGGGAGGCGGGAAGAAGAGGAATCCCATCTGGCAGGCGGCGTGCCAGGAGCGCATTCCTGCCCGCCGTCAGCGCCAGCGCGCCGGCTGGGAAGCTCCGCCTCCACCTTCCCTTCCCCCGCCCCTCCTCGGGCTGCGGCGGGAGCACGAGCGAGCGCTGCGATATTTTGTCCCGCGCGGTGACCCCTCCCCGGGCTGCGGCTGGCGCACGGGCGAGCGCTGTGGTATTTTGTCCCGCGTAGTGACCCCTCTTCGGGCTGCAGCGGGCGCACGGGCGAGCCCTGCGGTATTTTGTCCCGCGCGGTGATCCCTCCGAGGCAGGCTGTGGTTGCGACTGCAGCGGCCGCCGTGGCGGTGGCGGCGACGGTGGCAGCCGAGCGCTGAGGTGAGGCCCGAGCCCGCCCGGCGGCCTCGAGGCCGCGAGAGGTGGAGACTGGGCCGCCGTCCGG